CACTTCTCTATTCTCTTTGTCACATGCATTCACAGCGAGGGGTGACATGCACACTCTGAAGTATGCTGCTTTATACAATGGGTTGGGTATTTTTTATCTGCCTTGTGTGCGTGAGCATGTACTGAGCTGGGAGAAGAGTGGCAAAGGCAAGACGGATTGTGCAAACTTAACGCTAAGAATTGAAAACAAGGAACTTAGCAGGCTGTTCCGGTGTGCTCCACACTCCCCGAGAGCGACCTGCACACAGCTCTTAAGGGCTGTGTTCACCTCCAAGTTACTTACTCCTTAAAGACCCCAGCCCTCCTGTCACACTTCCCCTTCCCCACTGATTCTAAAATACTTGATTCTGTCCACTGAAATGCAACAGCTGCTTCTGTTCTAAATTACTTTCCCCTTTTTCTGTTTCCTGGAGTGGAGTGATGAGTGGCATATGAATACTTTTAAGGCCTCTTTTTGGTAAGGAATGAAGAGAAGAAAGAGGGGCAAGAAATGTGGCCCAAATTTCCAGAAGTCCTCAGCATCAAGTAGGACAGTGGGAACAGTGGAGTATTTTTGAAAATCTAGTGGCTCCATTGAGATGCTTACATGGGACTTCTGAGCGCTGAGCTAGAAGGTGAAAGCTGCTGACTCCTTTCTAGTTGAGTCTCTCGAGCTATAAAGCAAGAGGCGGCTATTGAATGGGAAATGGAGTTTGCAGATTTCAGGACGATGGTAACCACCAAGAACTGGGCGAGAAAGGGAAAGGCCTTGATGAGTTACAAACATTCACAGTCGCAGAGACCAAGTTTGAAGTCTGTTGCTAATGAGCGCATGAGAATATGTAGAAATGTGAATGCAGTTATGGCTAAGTCCCAGGCCCTGGACATTACGATTTATGATTCCCTTCTTGGAAAGGGAAGCAGCAAAAGAAAAAAAAATCAGATTTAGAGCCGGTAGCTGAATGCAGTTCATCTGGCTCCCCAGCAAGATCTCAAGCAGCTACGCTCCAGCTCAACTTGCTGGGGCTCAGTAGCTCTGTTGGTGAAACACTGGGATGCTAGCCAAGGGGCTGGCCTGCATTTCATCTGCAGCCGGCCCATGTGTTTCTCTTTTCACATGCAGACATGAGGAAAAACAACATGGATTTGGAAGCATATGAAGCCGCCACTTACTAGGTGGCCCCGACCGAGGCCAAACAGGCCTGTCTCAAAGCAACGAACTGGAGACTCTAAAGCGCGTAAGAGGGCACTGTGCGTGACAAAAGATGTAAAACTCACTGTCTGAAAAACGATAATGGAAGAGACGAGAAGAAAGATTGGGGGAATTCTTGGCAACCAAGAGGTGAGTGAGCTGTCCCCTGCCCTGGGCCTTGACTTGTGGGGACAAACACTTGTAGAGCACATTGCAAATAAAGTACATGGTGGCCAAACTGCCTAGGAGTGTGTGCCTGGAGTCCAGGGAACCCCACCCCGTGACAATCCGTTTGGCCCCTCGGCGCACATACTACTCTATGGCCCAGGACAGGCGCTGACCAGGTGCTACGCTGCTCTGACTCATGTGGCATGAGTGACACACACTGATACTGATGGAAGAATGTTACACGGGATCTGGGGGAATCTGGGCCCTGCATAATCTTAATCCATCTGTTTGCAGAAGCAGCCTTTGTACATTTGCAGACTCAGTTCTACTCTCTCTAGAGCTGGCAAACTTTCCAGGAAGTCTGTCCTCCTTCCAGTGAAATCAATGGGGATTTTACCTCTGATTTGGATGGGACTACAATTTGGCCGGGGAAAGAATTCACTGGGATATACTGAATCCCAGCAGACAACGTATGAGTGACTAAAATGTGGAGGGACAGTGGTGTGGGGGTTGTGCCTTTTAAGATTCAAATCCTGTTGTTGGGACTGCTATGGTAAGAAAACACTAAACTTCCATGGAGTAGTAAGAGATGGCAGCTTTGTGTTTCTGTCAGGGGCCCCTTATGGTTAATCGACACACAATGCTAACCAGCTTCCTTTTACAGGAGTCTGAGAGCAGTGGAAATTCAGGGTATTCGGGGGTGTGTGTGCGCGCGCGCGCTGGGCAGGGTAGAACCGTAAATCAGTTTTAGGAAAGGGGAAAAAAGCAGCAGAAAACCTTCCAAATCCAAACAGTTCTGACTGAGAACACTGACGATTCTGTCCCTCTTCAGTTGACTTTGCCAATGTCGCCAGACTGGGTCCTTGGATCCCAGTTCACAAAGACAGGTTTGCCCTGCTCTCTGCTCTGCCCTCAGGGACACATTTGCAAATCCCAGGAGACACTGATGTCAGAGTAGCATACATCTATGCTAATGTCACCATCCTCAGAGTTGGGTTTGTCACTCAGACCTCTGGCTCTTTCAGGCACAAAACACAGGAAGTTCTACAGTATCTCCTGAACTGCCTGGGCCTTGCAGGTGTGGGCGGTGTGTGGATGTATAAGAAGAGCAAGGGACACAGAAAAGTGTCACTTCTGTTCTACCCCATAGTTACCAGACAAAGCAGTAACCGACTTGTTTTTCTCTGAATGCCCTGCTCTTATGAAGTTCCTAAAGGCAATGCAGCAAGGCAAAAAGGAGGACTTGTTTCAATAAAAACCCATCAGTGAGATGAATGTTAGGAGGATCGAAACCCAATAATTTATAGCACTCAGTGCATGGAAGAAACTGAAGAAAGAAATACTGTAAAGAATCCAATACAAAGGTGCTAGGAAACAGGCGCCCCCCTTCACTTGGCGTCAGGCACCCCCCTGTGGCTGCTGATGTAACACTACAGTTGTGAGTAGGAAGTTGTGAGTTACCAACCCGGTTGTGAGCAATTGATTTTAGGGGAGCCTGAGATTCTCACACAAGTTGATTTTTAGTGTATTTATTTTAACTTCCTTCTTATTTATTGTTACCTTCCTGATATTTCACCACTTCTTAATCCCCACTGTGGGCAGCTGGGCGTGGAGTACTTGCTTCTGCTTTTGATCATTATCTGTCTTGCCTACTGACAGAAAAGGAGGTTTTTGTGCAGAGTGACACGTTTTGCTCTGTGCACTCCAAGCCAGCAAGAGGAGACGTGTTCCCTCTCAAATCCCCTTCCCCCATCTGGATGTGAACTGTGGGATCTCATCAAAAGCAGCAGGGGCTTGCCAACACGAGAGACTGCGAGAAGGTGGTGTGCTGATACAGCAGCCTACTTGTACGGCCTATCCCACTCCTCTCCCGTGGCAATAAATGACATCAAGAAGCTGTGGAGGGAAACAGGCCTAGTGGCACATCACAAATATTCGCTGGCACTGATGCAAAGCCCTTACTCCACGTACTGCCAAGGAAAAATGGGAGGTAACAATCAGTGAAAAAGCTGTAATGGGATGAATGCCACACCTACAGATTACAGCATCGACATGCACACACCATACATATATAAATACAATTCAGTTATGGTTACCTACACACCCCTGTGGGGGAGCAGTGGAAAGAAACCATGTGTTTCCACTGTCACCACAGATTTGGGTAAAGAAATAATAAGGCATGAATGGGAATAAATAGATTCTCCTCAGGGTTTCTGGCATTCGCCAGTGTAAATGTTGGAAGAATGTATGTCTGTTATTTGTAGTGAAATCATTACATTTCCTGGCACTTTCTGTATCACAGTACGCTCAACCACTGTCCACGTGTTGGTCTGGTGCGAGACTGACCACGAGTATGGTGATAAGCTCGCAAGAGAAAAGGAAGACCAAGCTGGAAAGACAGCACCCCCCACCCCAACTGAAATAAAATGTCCTGATGTTAATTTCACTAGGCACCATTTAACTGATAAATCTAGGATTGGGGAGAAAAGTGGCAGTCCTAGCTTCCGTGTGAATTAGAGAGACTGCTGGGACGGCTCGACACAAGAAAAGAGTTAGAACTCAATCTTGACAAAGCCACTGGACATGCATCAGCAAAAGGTCTGGTATCGGATCTATCACGGCATCCACCTGCTCATACACACTTGCTAGGGCTTCTAAACCTCCCTGTATGCTCGGAGGTCTAGCGCCCATGGGATGTGGAAAGAGCCAAGATGAGCAGAACTAAAGGAAAAGGAAAATCAGGGACTGACCAAAACTGAGGATGCTGGAGGAGAAGAGGGTCTGCTGGCACAGTAAGCGTGTTCGGCATGGCTCGGAAAAGGATGACTTGGGTCAGTCCAATACTCTCACGTCCCAGACTGCCAGAGGCACCCAGCCTCCACTTTTCGCTGAATAGGGCAAGGCTTTGCTAGGGAGCTCCAGACAGTCTGCCTTGGGCAGGTGGCGGAGGGTCATGTCAAGAGTAGACTCTGTGAAAACAGGGATCCCCTTCATGGCTTTAATAAGGAAAGCCTGTGGAAAAGCAAGACAAGGAGGGGGACCGAGAGCACGGAAGAAGAGTACAGGAAACACTGAAGCCACAATAAAGGATGCAAAGCCGAAATGTGAAACATGTAAACACGCACTTGGCATTTTTGCTTTCTGCCTTTGCTTGCTCCAAGCAGAACACTGAACCGCGACGCCTTGGCCCCAGAGCGTTCCCTTATCAGCACCCCCCTCGCCTTGGCATGCTGCAGGGAAAGGCCAGACCGGCTCGCTCCTCACACAGCTTGACTGCACCGCGCCTGGTTGCTATGAAAATATCAGGTTGCCATGGAGTACAACAAAAAGCAATGTAGCCACCCCCCTCTTTCCTCATCTTGCCTGTGCTGCGTCCGCGAGTCCCACCCACCGCTGCTCCCAAGGGAGCTGTTCTCCGAGTCCTAGGAGTAAAACTTACGGGCTTATTTGTAAACTTTCTTTTCATTATTAGTGTTTGCGTTTCCTTTCTTGACATTTTGCCCTTTGCTGACCAATGAGAGGTTCCACACGGTCCGGCTTGATCCGTGAAATAACTTAAAAACTAACAATACATGTTGCCCCGGTGGCGATTCCTGCAGAGTCCCCTTTTGCCTCTCACTGGCTTAACTTGCAATCTGTTCAAAGTTTAAGAATTTGAGGGGGGTGTGGGGGAGAGGAGAAGACTGATCAGATACTCAAATTAGCAATTTGTTACAGAATCTAAATTACATAGCCAGCACTACCTATGGGCCCGTCAATCCCCTCCCACCCGCCTGGTTGCTTCTCACTTGCGGTTCTAGGGTGTATCTGATGAGACGAGTGTATTGTAAATCCAGCCTCAGCTTGTACTTGACAACATCCATAGCCCATCATTTCAACCCTCGGATGAAGCATCACTAGGACACCCTCTTCCCCCACTCCTGCTGGTGCCAGGCCCGAGCCATTAGGTCTCTGGGTAGATGGCACCAATAACACCCACGGTGCTCGACCGTTTCAACCAGCAAGAGCGTTTTCTTCGGTCCTTGCTCTGTGTCCAGTTTCTGCGCCGTTTGGTTTTCTGTTATCTGTTCAACGTCCTTGCTCCAAGGCCGCCGTTGTGATTGGGGGCAAGGTAAGTGTCTGTACGGTGGACAGGCGAAGAGAAAGGGGAGGAAGAGGAGTTGTAAGAGGAGGAGGGGGTCCGGATGCTCTGGCCCCCAGTCTGAGGTTGCTGCAGGTTGAGGATGCTGTCAATGGCACTCTGTAGGTGCTCATTAAGGGAGTCGTCCTGGGGGCTGTCGCTGGAGAAGCTGGCGTTATCCACGTCAAAGGACTCGGACTTCCTGCGCTTGGCTGGAGGCAGGGGCACTTCCCAGGTGAGCTCTGAGCCAGAGCTGTGGTCAGGGGGCTCTGTTTTTATCATTCCATGATAAAACTCATCCTCTACTTCTGCAAGTTCCTTCATAAGGCCACTGGTAGAGTCATCGGTCTTCTGAGGGGCCGGGCTGCCTGGCACCACCAG